GCTATTAATGAAGTTTTTTTAGTCCAAATAAAAACTGTCGTGCTCAACAGGATTGTACGCTCTCCACTACAGGGTAAACAGCAGCACTATTATACTTTACTGAAATAAGTCCTGACTTCTCTGAGGAAAATAAAATTCTTGTATTATTTTATTTTTACTTAGTTGCTGAGCTTCTATTTTTTAAGCCCTGACACTGGGCAAGCTGGCTAGTCTACACTTTGCCTCTGGTACCACATTTCCATTCAAAAAGTACATATTGCACAGAACTAAAGCTCTTTCCCTCAGGACACAGAAAAGCAATAGAGAAGTGGATGGCAAAAGCATAGGCATAGTCTGAAAGTTATAACTAGCCCTTGTGAATAATCTGAGCAGAATCCTCCCAACATGGAGAAGACTCTTGAGCAGGGGTTGCTTTCCAACACCAGGTCTGCCTTCTATATTCCTCACTTGAGACAAGGTCTTAATCAGGAACATAAACAGTGCATGTCACTGGCCTCAAGCCACATTCAGCCTAGGGTTTGTGGATGTCTGTGAGCCAAGAACTGCTCCAATACAACTACAAATGGTAATTAAGAAAAAATCACACAGAGCTTAAATTTGCCATACAGGAAACTGTACTTCTGACAGCAAAAATAATTAGTCAAGAAAGTTTTAGTATCATTAACTATTAACAATTGTTACATGATCTCTGAGCAAGTCACATTAACTTTTATCTAGCAAAATAATCCCTCTTCTAAAAGCAGACCTGGACCAAAAAAGTGCTAAGTGAATCAGATATCTCCAAGGGTGCAGAGAATCAAATGTAGACTTGCTGGGTACCAAATTAGCCTCACAACTCCTCTAGCTCCTAAAGTGAACACACTACAGCAGGCATGTTAAGGTGAATTCTGCCACATTGTTTGAGTATCTAGAGACAGAGTTCAAGCTCTCTGTATCTGTAGGCACAAGAATAATAACAAACTCTCCAATGACAGGCTAGGGCAGAAAATCTGAGGTGGCCTTTAGCCAGTTTTGTTAAATTCTCTTCTTTCTTTTATCAGTGAGCAGTTACTTATGTGTAATGTGACACCTATAAAAAAGGAAGAAAAAGAAACATGTGCGCATCTTTTCACGTTCTTAAAAAAAACCCCAGAACAGAATGATACAGAACAGTGTAAAGAAATCAGGGCCACAATAATTGTCTGTGCACTGAATAGCTTCCCAAGAACACTGTGCCTCTTTCAGCAGCCTATTTTCTTTCTTTCTTGTCTATATGCCTTTGCTGTTTTGTTGGAGTTAACACCCGTATATTACATTTCAGGGGAGGACAATAAATATCACATATCTCTGTCTCTACTGCTGCCCACTAGGCACTCTATCAGGACTCACCATAACATTCTAAACCATACGAACAGTTTCAAAGGGGAAAAAAAAAAAAAGAGTCAGTCTGCTATGTAAACATTTTCCCTTTGGCTCCAGTTAATTCCCACCTGGAGACAGATTTCCTTTTCATTTTGGTTGGCCTGAATTTCAGGCAATCTCCCTTCAGTGGCAGATTTCGGCATATAAAACTGTCACTGTTCAAAGTGCTAACTTGCAACTTCACAAAGTGCATTTTCACTGAGAAGTGGCTATTTCCAGTCTCCTGAAAGATCCAGGAGTCACTTCTAGTCTAAGAAAAGCTGTGTACTCAGCTGTGGAGAATTCCAGATGAGGCAGGTGTGAGGCACAGGCCTAATTTCAGACATTCAGTTTTCCAGCATTTCTGGCTTTCTTAAAGTTTAAGGCTTAAATGCCTGGGCTGCTGCAGGGCACTGCTGCCTGGGTAGAGAACCCTGTAAAAGGATATGATGTAGATACTCACATACCCAAGAGCCATGTCCCTGAAGAACATGGAAACAAGGAACAGGCAGACCAGGCTGCCAGAACTGAAATGGCTGCAGTGAACCCAGATTAGGAATGTAAGGATGAGCTGACCATGGCTCAGTGGGCCTGTGACACATCAGGACACCTGGGAGGAGATGCAACACAGAGACAGGCTCATGATCAAGGGGGAGACCCGAGCGCTGAAGTCACTGAACAGCTTATCCATGAGTGTGAAACGTGTACCACAATCAAGCAAGTCAGGTGGGTAAAGCCCCTCTGCTGTGGAGAACAGTGGCTGGGAAAGACAGTATGGGATTATTTTCTTCAGGGAATATAATCCACAATTTGAGTTGCATTTCATAGCTGTAGGTCAAAGTGCTATAGCAGAAGCTACTAGATCTAACTGAAGATGGGATCTGTAAGAAAATGGGCAAAACAAAACCGATTCCAGTGCCCAAAAACACAACACAACCTACCAGATCTGACTAAGGCTCTACTACAAATTAACCCCACTTTACTATTCTTTATGCAAAGCGCATGAGTTTTCTCCAGAAACATGCACTAGACACTAACATCTCACTCTTACAGAGCCCTAACTAGTGTCTGATTTGTCAGAAAAGTAGACTCTGTTCTTACACACCATTTTATAGCAATGTCACTAAAATGAAACAGACTGTCAAGTCATGAAAATATGTAAATTATCATATTGTTGGTGCTATAACATAGCACTTAATTCTTTGTGTTCTTGTGTGCTCTTATCTTGTTCACAGGAAATAAAAATTATTCTTGCCAAGTACTTTATTTCAAAATCTATTAGCATAACTTGTTACTGAAAAATTGGGAGTGCATCTTAGAAGACCGAGAAAAGGAGAAGATGGGTTAATGATTAATTATTGTATCTGCAATTACATCAACTCAGAAAAACCAAAAGGTCTTTCTCACACTTCAAAACATGGAGTTTGTCTCTTGGTACCAGAAGAATCCCTCCCTCTGTGGTACAAGACACTCTGTGAACCAGTAAACATTGATCATCTTTTGGTACCTTTCTCCCCTCCTACATGAGGTGTCAGATGTTCAAATGGTTGACACAAATTCACTTTGGATACTTGCTGAAACCATTAAAGACAATCCTCTTTTAGCCTGCAGTTACATCCTGAAAAGTGATTATTACAAATGGTGATGTCCCAGACAGGAAAATCTAGTCTTAGATAAACCCCTTGTGCACATTGCTGAGGTTTTTTATTAAGGAGAAAATAGTGAGAAAAAATACCACAAAACTATTAATGCTAATACTAACATAGAAAAGCCAATATAGCTTTGAACATAACATTGAGTCATGGACATCATATGTTCATTAACTTCTATTGAAATAACATAACCAAAATAAAAAGTGTACCTATTTTGCTTTGCTCTGTCTAGCCCTCATACATTTAGAGGAATAGCAATGGGCCTGACCAGTTTGTATCTTAAATGTGAATTGTCAGCAACAATGCATAAAACAGAATAAGTACATAGAAAGTCTCCTGATAAGACTGTAGAATGCAGAAAAACAGACAGAGGTTTTTAATAGATAAAATTGGATTCAAAATTTCCTGGGCACAAATCAGAAATAATAAGCTACAAATTTCACTAACTCAACTAACAGAAAACTCTGTATTTTTTCAGTTTAAGTTATTTAATAGAGATTATGCTTTGGTTATTTATGTCAAGATAAGCACATGAAAATACTCAGTGTGGAAATGACAGAGACAAGATATGCAAGGTTTGCTGACTTTTACCTAATTGTAATATTTTATCCTCCCTTCCAGCACTGACCTCCTTTGCCTTCTGCATAATGTTCACCTCCACTCTATTACCTAAGTTCATTAACTACTGAAGCAGGTTAATTCATGAAGGCTGGAGATCCTGCACATATTTTTTCCTTCATCTAGAAAATGTTGTTTCTTTCAAAGCATGTTTGCTCTTTAAAGATGTTCATGCAGACAGTGAAGTCCAGTAATAGGATTAACTCTGCTCAACCAAAATGGCTATCAGCTCAGCAGACAGATTAATGAGATCATCTCACATGTTGCATGACATCTTCTGCCTTGCTAATTCCAAATAGCAACTTCTAAGACTAGGTTAAAACACTCTATAAAGGTAATCTGAAAGGGTTAGAAACAGATTTAAAATACTGTGTTTTCCCAGGCAAACTACAATCACACAGAACAATGTAAAGGTTGTCATTTGTAAGTGAGGGGCTGATCCATAAGCAAGGGTAATAATCCCTTCCACGTCTCAGATACATTTCTTTGATTGACTTACCTTACCTGGAAATAAGAAGATAAGAGTTATACTGCTGAGGTAAACAAGTAAGGCCAATACAAAGCACATGGGAAGGATGTTAAATACTTTGCTTTGAGAAACCAGTTAGCTACTGTATCATATCTAATGTCTTTGTTGCAAAGGATCCTAAATCACTTTTTATATGCTTGTGCGTTAAGCAAACAATTGCACTGCAGTCAACAGGCTCTCAAGAGATCTGAGCAGCACAGTTGAATCCAGCAGGGACTAAGTCAGAACCACTTTGGATGTACATATCAAAGGCTACTGCTTCATCTTGCACTGGTGGATGGAGAAGTTCACAGCAAAAAAGCAGCCCACCCATCTCCCTGTTGTCAGATTTACAGCAAATAGTGCTCATTTATCATAAACCTCTGATTGCATAAAGACACTCTGAGCATAAAGGAAATTTATACCAGGACAGCAGCAGAGAAGGAGCTTAATTACAGTAACAATAAAACTCAATCTAGCCAGTGTTCTCATTTACTGTGCCAAACACAGACTTCCTACTGAATTTTTGTGTTTGGACTAGACACAAGCAGCAAGAATGCCACAAATTCACAGCTTACAGTGGTCTCACCGGGCACTTTACCATCAACAAGTCATACATTAAGCTTGTGACATTTCTGATTTTTACATTCCTGGAGGGAATCCCCTAGACAGCCCTAGGATTTACAGAAAAATTACCTGAATTTTCCCTGTATGATCATTACCTGATCCTATTGCCCCATTAATTCAGATTCTACTAGAGAAAGCTCAACAGCAAGTCCCATGTTTAAATGGCCAGCTGAGTGTACTGATATATTGTCCACTGAGAGCCATAACTTACTTACCCCACAGTACCGATCATCACTGAATATCTGTGGTGGCAGTGGATTGCCTTGTGCAGGCTGCCTATCCTCAGGAATATTTTTATACATCCATTGTCTCTTCTCCTCTGACATGGTAATATCCACTTCTTCAAACTCTATGCGGTTGGCTTCTAGAAACCTCACCACATCCTGCTGCCTCTTCTTTATCTAGATGGAAGAAGGAAAATTAAAAAACCTAGAGTCAGAGCAAATCCTCCATAACACAGACATGCTTACAAATCTAAGAACATTTCTCCCCTCCCATCCCACTTTCATAGGATGGGAAGTCACAAACTCAGAAAGACAAAGGAGAATTATTTTTTTTCCAGTTTTAAATTCATAAAAGTTAAGCATTGCTGTTTCTTTACATGTTTGCAAAGATTATACTTCTTCACCTCATTTGTGAGGTGGCTTTCTGTTTAATTCAGCTTTGGTAATTTCAGCTTTTACCTTCTAAAGATATTTTTAAAAAGCAAACTGTAAGGGTCTATTCAGAAGTAGAAGTTAAAAGAGGCAGTCGGTGCTCAAAGATATTAGGAGCTATATTTTTAAAGTATACAGGCACCTAAAAATACAAGGTAAATAACCTGGCAAGTCTCAGAAGAATTTACTCCTAAAAGTGTTCATTGAGAGGAACATATGAGTACATCTGAAAAAAAACCACCCCAGCTACACACATTTTTGTTTTCTATACACCTACACATTTTTTTAAGTGCAGCTCAACAGTTTCCTGAGCAAGGCTTGTTGAATACTTAGCTAAGAGTGTCTGTCAACATAATACACATGCCTGAAAGTAAGCATGATTTCATCTCTTGAAAATGAACTTTAAAAAAAAAAAAAAGGCAAGAGGTTTGTATTAAATGTATGGGGTTTCTGCCCCTCAAAGAGATTATCACCTTTATACAAAAAGACAGAACACTGAGAACACTGGCAGTTTTTATCTCATTGTAGTTAAGATTTGTTGGACCCAATGATCTTCGAGGTCTTTTCCAACCTTAACAATTCTATGATATTAAGATCAGCCCTTAAGAGCTAGCTGGGCTTCAAGAAGATACAGTCAGGTAAAGACAACCTCTGCCTCAAATAGGACTTTATATCAAGACAGCAACCTTTGAAATGAAAGTCTGCGTACTTTTTGCATCAACCTGATGAAATTAATACTTTCAGAAAGGAACTATAAATTATGTGCCATATTTTTTACAGCTATCATCACAGTGTTATTTGAAAAGAAATTCAGCTTTAATAATTTTACAGTATTCCTGGAGTGTCATATCTATGCAGTTGCTGGCTGGCATAAAGCCCAGGTGGGTGAATCATGCCTGTGGGTATCATATGACCTAGATACTATTTGGAAATCAAAGGATTTTTAAAATGCATGTGGTAGTTGTTCCTGTCACACAACCGAGTCTACCTAGCTAAATGCACCACAAAAATACAAAATTTTGGAAGCAATACTGATGGGATTCTTATTTCCTTGAAATAAGGCAGCCATCCTAAGAAACAAGGAATACAGAGCATTGAAACCATTACTGTATTTCTTGAGAAATGGACTGCGCAGTAAATTTGTGTCACAGTGTCTTATTCTTTTTCCTTTATTTGCCCACACTGGTACAGTTTTTTAGGCATATGTGAAAGAAGCATAGAGAAGGCAGCTCCTAAACTTTCATGTAAGTAATGCATTATCAACAACAGCAAAATTACTGCATCATCATCACTGGTAGTAGCAAAGGCAACACACCTTTTACTGCGTCCCTAAAAATTCAAAGTATAGAAGTGAAAGACAAATATCTTTTCCTCTGTCTTTCAACAAGAAGCTGCAAAGGAACACAAAAGAGACAGTGACAGCAACATTCTTAACACAAATGTTAACTATCTGATTAAACAGAAAAGAGATGTCTAAAATTATATGTGGGAGAGGTAATTTCCTTATAGTGAAGTGCTACCAAAACTCACATGAAATCCTTCTTGCATTGGTCAGAGCAATGAGCAAACTCCAGAGTGGCTGGGCCAGCCCTCTGGCCCCAAGGCCAAATGGCATCTTCCAGTCAAAGCTATTAAACCTTCATCCTCTCAAAGCTGCTGCTCACAAACTGGGAATGATCCCTGGCATGCTGTAACATCTAAGTCATGGCCACGGGCTGCTTGTGAGACTCTAGGTTAGCCTTGGCCAAAGCTGACTGTGCCAGCAACCATTCTTCAAACAGTTCCAGAGTACCAGAGTGCTCCATTCTCAGAGCCAGGACATGCACTAGTACAGGCGTATCCACGTGGACCCATTTCCATCTGCTGTCTCCCAGCAGCCAGTAAACTAAGTAACTTAGGTTTAGTCAGTTCCCTATTATTTTACAGTTCACACTATTAGAATTCTCCCACAACCAGAAATTTCCTAATGCCTCACTTTATTTTTATAAAACTAATTAAGATGTTGAAGTGAAGTAAATTGGGGTTTTCTATTTTTTTAGCCATAAGCCTTACAATTCTCCACATGACATCTGTATGAGTTATCAGCTGTGGATGTACCAGCTGCATAAACCTAAACAAAGTAGCCTGAAAATTTCAAGCCAAAAAAACTAGCATTTTCTCCTCCCCAATTTATTTGATTCAGGCCTATAAACTGAAACAAGAGCATTAGTTGTATTTAAAATCGTATTAAATTACGTCTTGTTGTTTAAGAGGGACGCTCAGAGCATCTGTCACAACAGAAGCCAGCTGATTATTCCCCAAGAAAACCACAGGACCTTTGTCTCTGTCTACAACTGGATCTGTGCCTCAGAAGTGCGTCAGCCTCCCAGCCCTGCCTGCAGCTCTCATCTGTGCTCACCCAGAGCCCTGAAAGCTGCCAGCATTGGGCCACAGGAAACACGGAGCAAAGGCAGCATGGCACAAGGAGCAGTGTCATCCCTGCTTCCTCACCAGCCTGTCCTGTCAAGAGCCCAGTGGAGAAAATACATCCTCATTTGACAAACCACGGAGGTGGATAATACTCTCTGTAAAGTATCTTGCTGCTACCAAGGTTTCTTGAGTCTGATGCAACTCAAATCAACCTGAAAAAAAGAAGAATCCATTGTCAGAGGTACCATGTTCAGAAATACTTGGTTTGTGGCTATTCATACACCACTTTGGGAAAGTGTTTGTAGTCTTACACAACACACTGCTTCAGCATCAATATATTTTGGGTTTAATACCTTTCAGCACACCAGATGACATTGCAAAATATACCTTCAAAGCATATATCCACTGTGAGGTTTCAGAGGAAAACCTTCATGTAATATGATCCTAATCTATCTTTAAATGCAGTGAGAAAACCCTGATGGAGTTAATGGTCTGCTATTATAGTCCAGTGTTTGTCTCCCCTATTTTTAGGAGGGCAATTCTTTTCTGAACATCATTTATCTGCATTTGGTTTTAGTGTTAGTCTATATTTCTATTCACAAAACTAAGACAGGAAAAAATCCCCAGAGACAACTCAATTTTATCCTTGTATTCAGAGCTGGTATCTTTATTAGGATTAAAAAACAGCAGAAGTAGGATGTTCATTGTGATACATAAAACTGCTAAAATGAGCTAATCACTTAATCAGTAACCCAATTTATAAAGGAAGACTTTTGTAGCTAAAGAATTCTGTCTTTCTGTCCTAGTTTTCATTTCTTTATACCAATTTGCAACAAGTAACAAGAGGACACATTTTCAAACTGCTTTGGAGAAATATTTCAACGACATACTCAGGCCAGTCTAGGTGGGACCACTGGGATTATCTGTTCTGACTCTCAGCACCCCTGAATTAATTCCTCTAAGGAGTAAAGGGTTTCTTCAGATTTCTTTTTCATGCTAAGATCCATTCCTGAGCTGGTAATAACAGAGAGCTGGTCTTTGCAATTTGTTTCCACAATGAATTGACTGTTTTTACTTGAAATATTTTCTTGCTTCTGTTCAGAATCCACCTCACTTCAGCCACCTCACTTTTTACATCTTTGCCCAGACTAAAAAGGGTTCTGTTCTAAGATTTCTGTTTCCTACACAACTAATATCAGATCTCCCAGCTAAGCTGAACGCTGATCTCTGGTAGCAAGAGAAATCATATTACTCATTCAGTAGCAGAATGAGAAAATGAGGATGTCACCAACTATAAATCATGTCCAAGTTGGGAGCAGAAGTTTAGAAAAATCAGATTACATCCTCTATCCAAAGTTTCCTGGAAGCTTCTCATCACTTCCAACAAGTAAAAGTTCCGTTCTTTTTTGCCCTGTCTGTGCTTGCCGAACCTGTTTTCAGAAGTTCTGCTGCCCTTGAAAGGCTTCCCTACTGACAGCTACTGAACCAGAGGAGCACAGCATGTGGTCTCTTAATTACTACAGTCAGCTGCATCTCATCATTCTATACTATTTTAACCAAGATATTTAATACCTTGCAAAAATCTTAGTAGTCCATGATTTATCTAATTCAGACAAGAGAAATTAATATTACTTCTACTCTACTATATGCAAGATGACTCAAGACACAATACTAACAGGAACTGTGCCATGATTCAAGAGAATTCCTCTGCCTTTTTTCATTAGCCCAGTTAATATAAATGGGAAAAAGCAGACCCATTCTCAGTTTCAAATTTCTTCACAGTGTCAACAGGAGGAATGTTGCTGAGTGTCTGGTTCTCACAAAGTGGATGTGGAAGCTTGGTTTCCTACTGTAGACTCTACCCCCCACCTTCTGGAGATAAGGTACTTCCTGGATTTTTGTCCTCCTGCCTACAAGTGGAGGGAATCACAACAGGTACCCTCCATGAATTGGCTGATGACTGAGATGTGCAGCACTGACTGTTTTACAGTCTCGTCCTCTTGGAATTGAAGGAACTGACAGCCTAGTCTGAACTGTCCACTCCTTCTAGACAGATCCCAAGGACAAATAACCATCTTTCTAACACAAAATCTTCCCCCAAAAAATATTCAGACCACACATGGTGAGTGAGAACAAAGCCTTATGAGGTTATCTTTTAAGTTGGCTTGTCAGATCACAGGCACCTTTTAGAAGCTTGACATTTAACAAACAAAAATTGAATGCATTTCTAAGTTCATCTCAAATACTTGTTTCACAGCCTGGCACACCTGTGCCTCTAAAGATGGATATGGTCCTGCTAATTTTCTTCCTTCTTTTTTAATTTGATTATTCGCCCC